CAAGGAAGGGGCAGCCTACATGTTGTGATCAGGAAAATTACCGTTTGACTACTATTGACATTTCCTTGGCCCTTCATCACCAGGGTGTGATTGCCCACAGTCATGCCTTGCCTTTCTATTGTATCTCATTCCAGTCAAGAATCTCAACATGTTTTGCAAATGACACCAGATTCAGTGAGAAGCTGAGCTTCTTGGTAGTTGATTGATTAGCTGTCTTCTTAATAACATCTACCCTTTCTGTAAAATCTGGGCTTACACATTAAGGCTCAAGTTTGATTTGGCAGCAGATTTCACATTCATTCTCTTTGTGCAGCTGACAGTAACTATTGCTGGTGTTAAGTTTGGAAAACAGAGTTGTGGTGTTTTGAATCCTTATATTTAATCTGTAGTGCTCAGGTTTGCACAATGTGCAGTTCCCATCTTCACCGGCTTTGACAGAGCTGAGACAAAAAAAGTCTACCCTATATCTGCAGGTTTATGACACAGGATGCACAGTAGTAACAAGGCCTTTAACAAAGTGATGGTTTAAATAGGGTTTGTCAGTTATTATAAATGACTTCCATTTTTAAGCAACTCTAGGTTTGCACAACTTCTTCATTTTTGAGACAAAAAAAGTCTACCCTATATCTGCAGGTTTATGACACAGGATGCACAGTAGTAACAAGGCCTTTAACAAAGTGATGGTTTAAATAGGGTTTGTCAGTTATTATTGTTTCTAAATGACTTCCATTTTTAAGCAACTCTAGGTAGGGCTTATTGGTTGTGCTGTTTCTACGATGCAATGTGATCTTACAGTCCAATTGAACAGTGCTCTCCAGCAGTGTTTCTCCGAATTTTTATGCAAACAACATGAGAACAAGCTGTGTTATTGGGTTTTTCTCACTGTCAAAACATTTAGCACTCCTATCCAAGCTGGTTCTGCAATCTTGCTTACAGAAACAAAATATTGTGTGTGCAGAGGGAATGGAAAGTGCAAACAGTCTGTTCCAGAGGTCACTCACTGCTTTCTGCCCGAGGTGATGGGCGATGGAACGGGAGAACTAGAATGTCTGGGTGGGTCTACTTTTAAAATTCAATTCTTAGTATAATTTATCCAGAGTGAAATATGGGTTTTATGCCTTAAAAATTCCTTGCTGTGTTATGGGAACGAAAGGTGCATACAGGAAGAGAGAAACTGTCTGGAAAATTGCGGGTTAAGCCATTGTATCCTCCATTTATTGATTGTTAGCACTGGCAGAAGCAATGTGTTTTGAGGTTCCTTCAACACTTCAGTACTAATTTGTCTGCCATTCACACATGTAGATGTTACAAAAGGAGAGAAAGCTGCTTAATGATGTTCCTTCATAAAGGTTTTTTTAAAAAATCTGTTTTTATAAGGAAAGGTTAAAAATCAATGTCAATAAAAGTACAACAATCATACAACTATTCTTTGAAAAAAACCTTATTAGTCTCTCTTTTATTTTAGACTATAAGGAAGCAGAGCTTTTGATAGATTAATTAGAAGCTGAAATGTGTTTATTACTTTCTTTTTTATATCTTCTCTTGATCAGACTGACTTGATCTGCTCATCTCATCTTTGAGCTCATTTCATCAGGGACCGATGAAGGGCTTTGAAGGAATCTGTGATGCCTAATAAAACTAGCTTTCTAAAACTTTGTTTTGGACTCCAGCTCCAGATATTTCTCTTTGGCTTAGAGGAGGGGAAGGTTTAGAGGAGAAAGGAGAGCTGATTTCCACGTTCCAAATTCTACCCACCTTCCTGCAGCCTGACTCACCCATCCACTAAGAGAAAAAGATTATTCCAAATGAACAAAGGTAGCCAAATATGTCCTCTGTAGGGACACTTTTATGAAAACAATAATTTTGTTGTTTAAGAATTGATCTCCTGTTCTCTCATTTGAAGCCAGCTTTGTGTATGTGACAGAATTATTGTCTCAGGAGCAAAATACAGTATTGTGTGAAAAGTGAGTGCCTGGTAAATACTGAAACAACTGCCTAGTCCTGAGGAAAATGTCACATTTATGACTGGGGGACAAACAGGTACATAAAATTCAGTGTGTTAGTGGACATCATAGTGTAATCTCACTGATTGCTGTCTTGTTACCATCCAGGAAGCTCAAATAACTCTGTTTTTCAGAGATATAATAGAAGCCGATCTACTGAGATAATGACTTGGCAAGAGCCCACTGGTTTACAAAATATGCAGGATCAGGTTTTCAAGCAATCCTTCAAATCTAAAATTGAGAGAGGTGGTTTGAGCCCAGCCTTCTTCTGAGAGAGGTGGGTTGAGCCCAGCCTGGAAGAGCTCTGCTCTGTTTGTAGTGTACAGTGGGTCAGGGGATGGCAGCAAGCCGGGCACTGAGCTGCTGGGAAGGCATGCATGCTCTCTTGCTGCAGGTCCCTCATTTCTCATTCCTATTTGTTCTCCTTCCACCAGATTTACAGGGGAGTCAGAAGCATCTCATGCTGTCCATGTGGTTTTTCTCTCTCTTTTGGGCTTGGAAAAGATGGCATATCTCTGAGCAAATGCTCCTCCCTGCCAGCACAGCCACATTATAGATGGAGGTAGTGCCCATTTGGCGGATAGCTGTGCTTCAAGAGGAAGGGAAAACCAAGTTTCTGGTGCTGCTCTTTACCCCAGCCTGTAAACTGAGAGAGGGGCAGCCCACACACAACTAATGAGAGCCATAGTGGCACAGAAATACAGGGTGGTGCTGCCTGTCCCCAGAGCTGCTGATACCATTTGGACTGTCAGCTTCTGTTCACCAACACACATGGGTGCTGGCAGCTCCAAAGCTGAGTTCACACGTGACACTCACAAGTTAAGCCTGATGTGCTGCTGTTCTTCTAATGACAATTGTTGGGTTTTAATGATAAGAGTCAACTGTGTTTTCTCTTTCTTTCTCTGAGCTAATGAGCCTCCGAAGATGGGAAGAATTAAAAAGCAGTAATGAGACTTGATATAATTTTACCCATCTAGTTCAATGAAAGAAATAAAGGCTCAGCTTCACTACAGCTGTATGTAAAATTTATGGGGAGCTGAAGTGCAGCTATGCTAATAATAAAAGCAACAATACTCCTTGATTCCTGGCTTTTCTGTATTAGGCTTCTCTTACCAGAGATAATGAGGAGCCCAGAAAGTATTTCCAGTGAGAGAACTGGTTTGCTTTTATGGAGATATCCTTTCATGTTGGAAGTAAAGCGCTATAAATGATTGAACAATGAGGTATGTTTCTGATTAGAAGGTAAAATCCAATTCTGTCTCTAGGATACTGACTTGTTCTTTGCTTTTGTGTGACTTTGGATGATTTGTGTCTCTCCCTGTCTTATTTCTCTTTCTACCTCCCATCTATCTAGATTGCAGTCTTTTGTGGTTATTGACTACCTCTTAACTTTCATACAGTGTCCAGTTTAGGGAAATCTCAATCCCAGCATGGTGATTCAAACACTAAAAGAAAGAAAATTCAGTAAGCAGTGACCAATGTTCTCCTCTCTGACACAGTTTGTGTTAAAAGGGCTAGAACTGTGAGCCCGTAGGAGCTGCAAGGGAGTCCTCTGAATCAGAATTAGGATGTGTCATTGCACTGGTGACACTTGTTTTGGGGTAAAATCACATGCCTATAGTCAGTAGGTACCTAATGGAAGGGTGACATCCAGAGAAGCCTGAAAGTATTGAAGGTACTGTGTGCCTGAGAATCCCTACCTGCAGACACAACACCCTGCTGCTTTCACACACACCTACCCCCCATCCCTTTCATGGTGGCCTGCATTCAACTTGCAAATTGTAGGTTGTGCCTTTGCTGACTCCTGAGGGAACACCATAGACTTATGCTGAGCACTACCATGTGCCATCTCAAAAATCCTTTTCTATATAATGTAAAAACAAAAAGCTATTGCATCTTCCCTCTCTCAAAAAGTCAGACACAATACAACTTCTCAAAGTTCCATATGTCCATTAAAATGTATTTTTGAAGGCTACCTGTGAATGAAAAGCTTATTGAGTTCATGGTGACCTAGAAGATCCTGATCATCCTCTGGAAAACCTTACAGTACATCACATAATTGCTTTAGAAATATTCCTCACTTGATTTATGCTCTAGAAAGGAGCAGAGCAAAACCGATTTGACTAATTACAAAGACACTGCCTTTTCTTCTTTATCTGTGAGAAAAGATAAGGTTTCTATGTTTTTGTTCTACCTTGTTACACAGTATGAAAATTAACAAAGTTATTCTGATATACCCATTACACAACACCTTTTGTTTCCCTTTTTCATTCACAAACTTTGTTTTTCTCTCCAAAATAATTAAGACGTAGATAAGAAAGAAAATAATGGATGTTGTAACTCACACAATTTCTGCTTTGCTCTTCTGAAGACTGCATGTGCAGGCACAAATGCTAATCTTAAAATTAAAAGAAACCTCCCTACATTACAGATGTACTTCTTTCTTGTTTCTGTCTCCTTTCCTTAATGTTTGAATCATAGAATCAGAATTGTTTGGATTGGAAAGTACCTTAAAGATCTTGAATGTTTCCTAGTGTTAAATGTACAATCTTTATTGTCCTGTATGGTTTCTCCCACTCTCTCGTCCCTCTGTCCTGCATCTCTCATTTAAGGGTGTCTTTAACATTGGAAAGCAAATGATCACTGATATGGCCAGTGCACTTAGACCTGTATTGCCTGTGATTCACGTGTGATATCAGGCCACCATCTTATTGGATTTCTTCTACTGATATTGGTCTTTCACTTGTGCCCTACCGTTGATGAAAAATTAAAACTCTCTTTGGCTTCTCTATGCTTTTATTGAATATAATAGCAGGGAAAAGGAATTTATGGCACATATACCTAAGCACCCAGTGAATTGTCTATTCATAGGTATCAGTTTGAAGGTGAGGTCTATAAATGGAGCCCAAGCCTGGCCAACTACCTCTGCATGGTGAGCAATGCTAGATGCTATCTATCTGCTCCCTCCTGGCTGGGAAAGGGTACGATTGCGCTACATAAAGGGTGGGAATATAATTTTCCCCAGTAATTTCCCTACCTGGACTGCTTAGATGGGTTTGCAGTCAGCGGAGGCTTTCAGTAGGAGTGTGGTGTAGCAACAGAGAATCTGCTATTAGATATTCTTCAGGGCTTTTTACTTTCACAAGCTCTAGAAAGGGGAGAGTATACCAGAGCATGCTCAGGGCAGGTGGAGCTTTCTAAAATGCCTTTGTTGGATGTTTATCTTTTTCAAAGGGAAAAGGAAGAATTAATAGGGATTTTCTGATGTGTTTTGTAAGGGCTCTCAACAACAGGCAAGCTGTCTTGTTTGTCTTTTTCCTTGTCCTTCCTTTAACTATCTCTTCTTTCTTTAGCTATCAACTGGATTTAAGATAGTGGGATTTGTGTACAATGCTTTGCTGAGTGGCTGTGTACCACGTGAATCATCAGCACATATAGCCTGCTGGTGTGACTCTGTTGTACATCACGTTCCTGCTTGCAAAATCTGTCTGCAGAAGAAATTTACAAAGAAAGAGTGCTGATCAGAAAAGGTGCAGGTCTATAAAATTCAGTGGGATACAGACCTATCCATTGTCACAAAAGCTTGCACATCTCTAACTCTGTTTATATGAGCAATCCATGAGTTTCCATGGAATCACTCTTGGAAGTAAAATTAAGACTATGTGTGCATCTCCCTGAGCTGTGTTTAACTTTCCTTAATTGTCATGTCCAAATTATGAACATTACTGCAACAGTCATATGCATAAGCAAGGGGATATTTTCAGGCGTCTAAGATGAAACAGGGTAAATTTTCTTCCTTTCACTCTGAATATCTTCTTCTAAACTGTCTGAAAGAGATCACTGCATTTCTGGGTAGTAATAGCGAGGGGAACAAAGCCAGCTCTGATGCTATTATAGTTAGTGGGGGACCGTGGCCATGCCTGAAGTGGGCAAAACTGTCCCAGGAGGTGACCTGTACAGATAAGGCATTTCCTTTAAATGTCAGCATAAACTGGCTTTCTAGAATAAAGGCATCATTATATTTCTGGATTGATATTTACTTTTAGAAAATAAGTCTCAAAGGAGAAAGAACATTTTGGTGTTTTCTTCCCCACTGTTGAAGTCTTATGTGTAGTAGGTTGCTCAAAGCCACAGAGCCCTTAGGAGTGAGTGGTGACTGTCCCAGCAACACTCTAGGAGGGCCCAATGTCTTCTTGCCTTTACTAAGTTTGTAATACATGTAGGCAAGAGCAGATAAATTGTCCAGCCCCTGGGGCTCACCAGTCATCTGCTACAGACTCCAAATACTAACGCTGCATGCATATTATACAACAAAGTGCTCCTAAATCTCCACTCACTGCTGATTTGCATACATGAAAAACAAAGCAGTGGTAACAAGTCTGGTAGAGTATCTTAACTGGGAATGGGGGCCCAGCACACTCAGGACTCTGAGGAGCCATCTGGTCTCCCAGTGACCACCTACAAATTCGTGCCCTAGTGAGACAAAAGACATTTGCACTGGTACCAGCCATGCTGGGATTTTCAGACTAGAAATGAAGCATGAAGTAAAATGCACCCAGAGCCTTCATTAGGTGAAACAAACAGAGGAGTTGGTGTTTTCAGTAATAATTGCAAAGGACCTCGCAGTCTGTACGATCTGCTCCAGGGGGAGTTTTCTCTCATCCCTGGCAGGATTACCAATGCACCCTCTGCTGCAGCAGTGAGTGGAGTGAACAGATCTCAGAGGGCGGGTGTGGAACTCCATGGCATGTTAGGTGTCTCAAAAATAGGCTCGAATGTTTTATTCTCTTTCTGCTTGTCTTTGATACTATTTATGTTAAGGCAAATCTGGATGTATAATGTTGCCGTAAATAATTGAAGAGCCACAGTCCCTGAAAGTGTTTTCTGTAATGCACTCACAGCCATTTGGAATTTCAGTATGAGAATTGTTGGAACAACTGCAGCGTCCTTATTTTAGATGTGGGAGGAAGAGAGAACACCAAGCATAGTCCAGCTAGGGAGGAAAATTGAAATGTTATCAGATTAAAATGATGCTGTCCAAGATCTTCTTCAGTGCCAGAAGTACCTTAGGTACGTTCCCAAGCTAACTTAGAAAAGGGGAACCTAAAAAAAGAGGGAAGAGGTAACTTTACATCATGAATTCACAAGTGTGTTTTGAAGTTCAGAATAAGAACTACTTTCAAGGTAATTTGTAGCAGTCCAGCAGCTGCTGTGTCATACAGTACTCCATCACTCCTGAGCCATTGAAACACCTCTGATGCAAGACAGCAGTGCCCCAGTCCAGACCCTGCTCACGCTCTTCATTGCTATTTACACTGTGGTTGCACCTAGGAGCTTTAGCCACGTGTCATAGACTTACAGTACCAAATGGAGGTCAAACTAGAATAGAAAGTCCCATTTCTAGACTTACAGTTTTTATATATGCCAAGAGACAGCCAAGAGGAGATGGAGAGACAGAATTGAGCAATGCCCAGCTGGGCTAGCACTGTCATTTGTGCCATGGTCTGAGTGCAGAAGGAAGCCCCTTACTCCTGGGTATGTATCCTCAAAGGCACTGCAGTGAGCTGGTGAAAGATCTGGTTACCTTGCAGAAGCAGCAAGCAGGGCACTGATGAACGATTCTCAGGCTCTGGTTCTCTAGATACCCCAAGACTGTGGCCAGGAGATGGATGCTTTTCCTTCTCCTGGCATCTCTGCTCCTTCCTATCTGCAGTGCCCCCCTCACTCTGCCTTTTCTACCTAGGATGTCATGTAGCCCTACCTTACTAGGCATAGAGTACCTGAGTAGGCTAGTTGTCCTGGTCCAGGCTTAAGCTCTTCTTGCAATGTTGCAGATTTCTCTAGCAGCACCTTTGCCTGAGTGATGAGGCTGTGCTCAAGGATCTTGCACATTTTCCCCTTTTGCACCAGGGCACAACTCAGAGCTATGAGTCCCTCATGCCATGGAGTGGTCTTTAGCACCAGGAGGTACTGAGCTTACTGCAGATTTTTGAAAGAGCTTCTTCTGACAAAGAATTCTTATTTTTGTGCAAAATGTTTCCTGCATTCTCTACTAAATTTGATCTTGTTTTCACAAAGAGAATCTCTAGCCTCTTTAAATTCGGTTTGTGCTAGAGGAGAAGTGTGAAATACATTAAGTGGATGAAAGAAGCCAAACTAGCATAGGGATAGACTGTTCAAGGGACTTAAATTCTAACTATAAATTATTTAAAACTCTGCATCTGAATTTACAATATCCATTTAAATCATCCTGTGTATTCTATAATTTGAGGTAAGACTTAGAGAGACATTCAGCCTGCTGCCCTGTGCTCAGCAGCTCTCTTTCTTTCCTTCTCTTGCTGGTTAAGTACCAGACTGCTTTCTCTTTCCCTCTGATCATTCTACATTTAAAGTTCCCTTTAGGTGGACTTTAAACACTTTGAATGCGAGTTCACATTATTCTCCTGTAAGCAAAAGCCCTCTCCTTTTTTTTTTTTTGAGACTTATGTGCTTAGCCCAGTGCAGACAGAGATACATGAGGAAAGGTACGTATGTGCTTTATTCACTCCCCTGCTAATATTAAGGCTTGATTCAATACCGAGTTGAAGACTGCTGCTGTTTTCCTCATTTTTCACTCGAGAGGGGAATGTGGATACACACAGCCACGCTCATGGTATCATCTTCCTTATCCCTGTAGTAAATTGGCCTGGCTCAGAAAAAGAGGCTCTTTTTCCTCAAATATGAGTGTTAGGCTTGGGATCCAAGGCTCTGCTTACTGACTTGGAGAGGTTTTCAGTCTGCTACTGAAAGTGCTAAATCCTACACTTCCGTTAAGTGGTTGCAGGAAAAACCATCCCCCAGCCATGTGGGTTTTAAAACTATTTTAATATATTTTTAAGTGCTTTAACACTGTCCCTAATACGTGATGGGCAATCTCTAAGCCTGGATGTCAGACAAAATATCAATAAAAGCCATTGCTTCTGCTGAAAAGAAAACCTCATGCGGCTTCTTGTGCAGCCATTGCATTTGTAAATCACTTGGGCACATGATCTCTTAGTGGTATCTTGTTTCCAACTCGCAAAATGATGCAAGGTGATTGGGCTCCACACGCTCACTGCCACTCTCCCCCCTTCCCTTCTCTCTGTGATTTTCCTTCCCCCTAGTTTCTCTGGCAGAGGAAGCCCAGCTTGCACCAGCCTTTTCCAGCCGAGGGGCAGCAGGCGCAGAGTGGTTTCATGTGCTCCTTGCTCCTAGAAAAGGCAGGGTCGGTGATTTGTTCCTGTCTCCATCATGGAGAGAGACTTTGGCGGAGGGAAAAAGCAAACCATCTGCATTCCCTGGGACATCAGCGGAGTCATGGACGATGAGGATGAGAAGCAGTTTTGCCCGTGAGTAAGAACACTTAATTTGGTAGCCGGTTTCCATGTTGGCAGTGGATTCACAGAGCAGGCAAGCCACAGCATTGAGAACTGTCCCCATATTAATGGGGACAGACTGAGGTCCATGTGGTGTCCCTCAGTGTGCCAGGGTGTGCACACAGCAGCAGACCTCCAGCTCCCTCAGAGGGTGACCTTGACAGAGGACAGCCACAATGCGGGCACACTTTGTGCATGTGCAGTGTTGCAGGGAGCTGTGAAGTTTTTGGGAGCAATTGAAAGAGGAAGACAAATCAAAGTAGATGCAGTCCTAAAAGAGCAGATGGAAAAGACAACCCCGGGCTAACTTGTATATTAGTACACATTTATTTTTTTAAAGGGCTGTAGGAAAGTCTGTTTCTTCCTTCTCTTAGAAGGTCAAAAGTTCCCTCCAGTATACAGGAGAGTTGAGAGGGCTTGCTTCTACCTAGATGCCATGTCTTTTGATGTTGAAGACCAGAATATGCAGATGCAAAAACTGCAGCAATGAGAATGGGTTTGGAGGGGAGAGAGAAGGGTTGGCATGAAGAAAATGATGTTGACAGCATTTTAGGCAAAGTCAAATTTTGCTTCAGTTTTAATCTTTGGTGAGATGAGCAGTCCTGGCTGAATTTCAGTGCTAACTGGGGGTGTCTCTTTTGATCATCGTATGCACATCAAACTCCAGCAAAACCTTTAGGACTGCTGAACAATACATAAAGATATTCAGATGTCCTTTGCAATCAATAATATGGGGTTTTAAGTGGTGGGGATGTTTTTCTCATACAGCAACTGTCAGGTGAAAACCTGTATGTCACAACATTTACTGACCTCTGATTTCCTTCTATCTGACCAGGCTTCCCTCATACCTGGTGGGAGCTGGGGTATGGGACAAAGCTGGGCTGCTTCTACCTGCTCTTTAGTCTCTATCATTTTAGATTAAAAAGGATTTTATGGGGAGGAAGTTCTGGGTGTGCGGAGGGAAAAGAGAGGGGAAGGATTTCTCTGCATGCTTTTGGAGGGCTGTGTGTTGATTGATGTGCTAATGTACCTTTGGCCATAGTCTTGGTCATTCAGCTATGACTGTCAACTTCAGAATGTTACTGTTTCTTTTTCTCTGGGATTCGAGGGAATGGAGACAACTGAATCTTCTACCCACAGTGTTCCTCTGAGTCAAGATCATGTACTCAGGCTTGGCAGATGCACTTGGACGTGTGCCCCAGCCTATTTGCTTGTAAGGCTTGGGTGACATGGAGTGTATCTTTGTCCCCCAGGAGTAACAGGGACCAGTCTAAGAGTTGTAACTACACCCAGCAGTTTGTTAGGGTCTTACTGTTAAGTAGTGCTCCAGACATTGCAAGGGCACTGACCACAACCCCTTTCCCTGTCATGCAGCCCTGCAGGGCAGAGAGATGTATCAGGATACATCCCAACTTAGAACCAGGATAAATTATGTCATTGATCAGCCCCTCTGGTGAGGTTTTTGGGAACAGGAGGCTTGAGAGCTGCCCCACAGCACCCATGAATACCAGGGCCTGGGCTTCCCTGTGGGCACATGGTAGAGCTGCCACAGCAACTACTGTTCCCCTACACTGAGGGTAGAGGTTTGCTGGCGGCCATTTCACACAAAGAAGAAGAAGCTGAACTTGAGATAAAGAATTTAATTTTGCTGACATACAGACTGTTCTTTCATTTACCTTAGGAAGCAATGGGAAAAGGAACAAGATGGCACAAACAACATCAGCTTCTCACAAGAATAATTACACTTCTCCTGAGCAAAATGAAGAGCAAAATAAAAACCTGGAAACAACAAATAAAGGAAGTGAGGATACAAATCTTTATAACAGTGAACAGTATACATTTCTTATCATAACAGTCTGCCTTTCTTACTGTACTCAGTTTAGTCTCCACTAAAATAAATCTTGAAGTATGCATTTATACTTGCATGTAAAAGTTTCCACCCTCCCTCCATAACACCACATTCAAAGTCCACAAAGTCAAGGCTACTAATAGTTGAAAACAGTATACCCTAAAGAGATATACAATAAGATATGTGTACAAATGCAATTTTCTTTTGCAATCATGTGCGTATCCTGCCAGAGGAGGTCAACCCCACTATGTTTCGAAATCCAGTGAAGAACAGGCATGTGAGGTGAAGGTACTGAGGGTACAGTAAGCTTTTCTAACTCTTTTTGTGACTTTTTTCATGAACATTTATATCACACGCTGAAATGACATCAAATAGAGTTGCTTTTGACTCCTGTTCTGTGGTGTCCACCTTTCAGGATAAAGCATCTTAAGACATTGAAGTGACTTTAATGTTTCACTTCATTCAACTTGTGTTTTTTTTAATTTATTTTTTTTTGTTGTTGTTGTTGTTGTTTTTTAGCTGAAACTTAGTATTTTCAAATGAATTGATCTAACACTCATTGAGGTCACTGCTAGTAAGATGAACTCTGGCAGTGACACAGCTTGTTTTTCCTCCTCCTGTTCTAGGGTATTCATTTCATATGTGAACAGAAACACAGGAGCTGATTGACTTTCACATTAGGAGGTATCTGTGATTTGTTGGCTGCCTGTGAAACCTTTGGCTCACTGAGACTCTTGCTCCACTTCTCATGAAGCTTCCAGCAGATGTTTATGATGGATTTCAGAGTGGTAGAGAAGCGGTTCAGTGAGCAGTGGAAGCAGTCTTATGCTCTGTTTCCCTTAAGATTTGTGTCTTGAGGTTCAGCCACCATGCAGACACTGGTTCAGCTTGGGTGACTGTCATTTCTCCATCTCACTTCCTCGTTCCATGAATCATGTTCAAACCAAGGACCCTTGATTCTCCTGTTGCTCTGTCAAATCTCCTCAAAATTGGCCAGCAGTTTCGCAAGCTATTAGGAGTGACAGGTAGACATATATATATACAGCAGTGCTAGATAAGCCTTGTTAGGAAACCACAGTAGATAAGTACAGATATCTCTAAAACAGATTACTCTCAGTTTCAGTACTTGGTCTTTGGAGAGGAGTACAATGTGTCTGGGCAAATCCCTAAGAAGTGCCTTCAATTCCTATTAAATTCCACATAAACTCAGGGTTACTCTGCACCTCTCAGGCTCTGGCCAAGGGATTGGATCTCGTTATGATTTTCTGCAGAATTGAGGTGGGTGCTTCAATAGCTATTACAAGTTATTTTGGGGGAGAAATAACTCTTTTGATCATAGTACCTCCTGCCCTTGATTAAACACCTCAGAACTGCAGTGACCCCAGCTGTATTTCAAATTATATGCAGAATTGCACTTAACAATAGGAATCTTCTAGAGTTCATTTGACCATTTCCTATCTCATTTTGGGGCAGATGCTATAAAATGCCTAAAGCAAAAAAAGCTTCACTCTGGGTTGTTCTGTCATGATACAGTGGGACTTGTGATCGGGGCTCCAGGATGAGTGCCATTTTATTTAGGGAGGTCAAATATGCATTCCTGAACCCACCAGTAGTAATTAGCTACTTCACAGCTGGCTAGAAGCAGTTTTACCTGTCTTATTGCGTAAGGCCCTTGAGTTAGTTGGCAGGTGCCTAGTGCTGGTGGGCAACAGGAGGTTGGGAAAGCATGGAGGGAGAGAAGGGGGGTTTGTGGTGAGGTGGCTTGTGCCCCACAAGGGGCTGTGGGGCTGTTTCTGCAGTGGCCAAAGGCCGGTCTCAGGTGAGAGAAATTTTGGCTCAGCTGAGAGAAATTTTGTCTCAGCTGTGGCTGGGTCTGGAGGGAAGAAGGCTGAGAGGCAGTATGGAGCATTTGATGTGGTGATGAACAGTATGTTGCTCTGTAATTTCTGCTCTTCTAAAGCTGAAGGTCACCTTAGATTCATTGCTTTAGATTTGGGTCAATACAGGAATTGTCTCATCTTTCCTTAGAGCATTGGTGGTTACATTAACCTGCTGGGGTTTTATCTGAGAGGCTGCATTTTAATTCAAGCCCCAGTTTGTGCCGCAGAGATATTGAGCTTGGTCTGGAAGCCGCAGGAGCGATGGTTACTTAGAAACCTGTGGCATTTGGGATTCTGGTACCACAGTTACTGTGCTGATGCCCACTTCAGCCCCATGCAGTAGTATCTTCTTTGTTAGTGAAGAAGAGAGTGCTTGTGAGTTTATGTGGGAAGATGGCAGAAACAGGACCTGCCAGCCAGGTAGTTGCTGTGGTGTTTAGGAGTAAAATGAAACAGTGAAGGAGGAGCAGCTTTAAGGCTACAAACTTTTATTGTTTAAAATCAGTTTAATAGCAAACCTAACTGTACACAAGCGCCGGTATTAATGATTTATTAGTTTTTACTACTGGATATTATTAGCTTTTCAGGAGATAAATGCCTGAGATGTCTCCTGGTAGCTTTTTCACAAATGTGTTTGAGCAAGAGAGTGTTCTACTCTTTTAGCAGGAGAAAAAAAAATCTAATTAATTTTACCTGTTAGCAAGCCAACTGTTAGTTCAGAATCCACTGAGAAGCTTTTGATTAACTAAAAATTGTCCTTTTATTAAGCAAATTAAAGCCATTCAGGCAGCATGAGACATTTGTAAAGCCACTATTAGAAGGAACTTACTGGATGATTTTACAATAAAAAGTTGATTTGCCAGGAAGAGGAGACCACTTCAGTTTGAGTAGGACTGGGCATAGTCAGAGGGGCAGCATCACAATGTACAGTGAAGCTAAACAGCTGCACTGCTCAGGATGTTCCTAATTATTTGTTTCCTGTATGAAAAAGCTGCTTCTTGTACATTAACACTCTGCAATGTTAAAATATGAGTTAAGAGTAAATAAGCTGAACTGCATTTAGTCACTGTGCCAGCACTCTCAATAAGAGTTGACCTTAACTCAATTAAACAGAAATTATTTTCAAAGTGATATAAACTAAGTGGTGAAGTAGAGGCAGAAAGCTATTAGACTGCAAATTATTATGTATGAGGGATATGCTGTAATTGGCAGTGATTCTTAATATATAGCAAATATGGATTCATTCAAGCTAGAGTGGTGCTAGGGCAACACTGATGCTTATGTAGGAGCTGGCATGCAATAACATGTTACCTCAAAACTTGCAGTCCAAGCACTAAATCACTCTAAGACCTTTTTAATTCTATATGGGAGCATCTGCAAGATAATTTAATGAAGTTTACCTGCACTACCTTAAAAATGGATTTGAATCAACTCTGATGGCTGCTATGCATAACCAGGCTGCAGTGAGTGGTATGAGTATGGAAGCAGCCAAGGGAGGGCTGAAATCTGTTCTGCCAGTTGGCTTAGGGATGTGCTGCGGCACTGGGGATTACAGGTCCCCTAGGGAATTGAACTGCAGATGTGACTGAGGAGGATTCACCTTCCAGATAAAGAAATGGCACCACAATATGCCTCTACTGTTGAACTTATGTGTGTGTGAGGGAGCTGGGGACTGTCATCACTGGTGCAAGCTGGCAGCTTGCAACATGTGTCAGTGCAAACTCTGAACACCCAAATCAGGCTCCAAATGTCTCCATTCCACATGTCATTGCAGTAGACAGTGCCACCACGTCCAGCTCCAGACCTAATCTGACAGTGCAGCTTTAACTTGTGTATTACATTTTCTGTGAGTAATGCAGAGGGCCTGGAAAACTTGTCTGACTCTCCCATTGACTCCTTGGTCTCCTTCCCACTTTCCCTGTCTAACTTGGCATTTCTGTGCTCGCTCATAACGAGCATTCACAGAGCAACAATAAGGAGGAAATTTGGTGAAGAATAAAGGTAAATTTATTAAAGCTAGCAAGTGTGGAGAAAGCTGATGTGTGCTGTGTTTATAATTTTGCCAATACTGTGACAGAAATAGTAGTTTAGGGTTTGCATTCAGCTTATGCCTCTGCATTTCTTCTCTGTTGCTTTGTAATCAGACTACCAGCCACTGCGGAGACCATCAATGACAGCAATTACATTATGACCTTTTAAAGCTTACTTTCAGAGTAAAGATTTTTATCCCATATTACCAATAACTGCTGACTGAGTTTAATCCAATCCTCCCAGTGCACTGGAACTGCAGGGCTTGTGATTTCCATGATTTAATAGATCAAGTGTCTGGGATGGGGGGAGACAAACTATTGTAACAGGATCTTTGCCATTTGGTGAATTTCAAATTTCCTACTGTTGTGGTCCATATTTGCTGGATGCCTCTGCTACCCTGTCTTGCAAATGACATCCTGCTGTACAATATAGCTATGTAAAGGGTGTAGTCAGAGCTAAATTTCAAGGGTTTTTCAAATCTTTGCACTAATGAGGCTCTAATTTGGTTTTATCTCCAACCAATCCATGGGAGCAGAGAGCAAAAGGAGGTATGTTAATCCTATCTTTCAGCCCTCCATGGCATGCCTTTTCCCAGCAGGTGTATTCTCCATGAAATGGAGGGAGAGAACACCTATAAAAGCCATGATACAGTGATCTGTGTCTCAGCAAAAATGCTTTTGTGCATACCTTGACCAAACCTGTGCCTGACTTCAGCCATGTAGTGTGTTAGTTTAGAAATGTGATCCGTGCATATGCCAGACAAAATATGTTGGGCACAAAATAAAAGCAGAATCTGGTAATCAACAATTCCAAGTCTCTAGAGAGACAGAATTGAGATGTAGACCTGTGTCTTCTATGTTTCCTACTTTTTATTATAGGGGACACTATCATTAATACAGTCTTAAGAAACAATTTGCTTATAAACAATGACAGATGACACAACAACAGCTGGACCATTTTCCCTGGGGAAATCCTGCCAACTGGAGAAACACTTGGCAAGGCAGGCCCTCTACAGTCCCTCAAAAATTTTGTGGCTACTAAACTGGAGAATGGACATTTTGGCTCCTTCAGCAATGTTTTCTCTAAGGCTGCAGCTTAAACAATCTGTCTTCCAACATGTGTACACATACATATGTGTGCAAACACAGGTGCGTGCACATGTAGCCCATCACCCTTCCCCCTATCCCAGCCAGCTCTCCTTTTGAGACAGAGCAAAACTGGAGTATGGTGGAGTGGTCATGCCTGGTGCATGCACCAGGGGCAGGATGCCTTTGCCTGTGCCATGTGCTGACACAGAGTAGGGCAGGGAGCAGACAAAGCCACTTGGAAAAGACGCTGTGGTCATGCTAAGGCCTTGAGGAACCAGCATGAGCCAGTGTGTGTGAATTACAAAGCAGACCTTCAGCAAAGACAAAGGATGAGCACAGTGATTTTGAAATTCAGGCCAAATTTGGAAAACTTGGTTTTGTTGCTTGAGCAC